GCCTCTGCCCTGCCCCGCGCCCCCAGCGGGCCCTCGGCGAGTCTGCCGCGGGCCGACACCGCTCGTGTCCCGCGGGGCCGGCTGCGTGGGTGTCCCTGGTGCCCGGTGAGCGCTGCCGGGCCACGCGGCGCGGCCCTTCCTCCGGGTGTGCGTTTGCCTGTGTTCCCCGGCCTGCGTGTCAAGGCTCGCACAGGCGCTCTGCCTGTCGTGGTGCAGGTGTTCGCGCAGGTGTGCGGTGCCTCAAGGGCTCGCGCTCCCCACGAACGCGAAGACGCAGCCGTCAGCAAGGCCCGGAGGCCTGGGCACGCATAGGTGGCCCGTGGGTATAGGAGAAGCGGGCGCATGTTGTGTCCCCTGGGTGCTGGAAGTGCAGCTCGAGCTGGGACAGAGATACACCCGTTTTTTCCTCCCTCTTCTTAAAATGGGTGAAGCTGCTGTCTCGAAGGGGCAACAGCCCCTGTGCAAGGCAAAAGGGATGAACTCTGTAAGCAGCTGTTTGGAGTGGGAAGGGATGCTGTGCAGAATGTGTGTTATAAGGTTTTACATCCCTAGGTATTTTTCCTTGAAATAAACTTTTACTTTTGTGCAGACCACAAATTAAAAACTGTCAATTCATAGACAAGTTCTTCTTTTTTTTTTTTCCTCTTCCAGGTAGACAGAGTTACTATAAAATATAAATATGTTACCTGATACCTCCCTATCCACCCAATTTATATTTTGTGCTAAAGCAGAAGTTAAGTGGGATAGAACAATTTTCAGCACATTTTTAGTCTTAACATAAGCAAACTGTCCAATATTCTCATTTTGTATTTACAACTCAGTCTTTGCAGCATTGTGCCGGGTTCTGAGGGTGAAACTTATGAGAAATAGATCAGCCCGTCAATAGTCTATAGAAATTAAAAACAGAAAGGGTAAACTTAGGTTTTCAAAGCCATGATATCCATCTTTTGTTAGATGAGAATGTCACTGGAAGAGTTAGGGAGCAACTATTTAAAATGCTTTTACTTTTTTTTTTTTTTTCTCCCTAGTAATTAAAGATTGACTTTTTCTTCTACGTTTTGAAAAAACACAGAAGAGATGACAACACCTTTTTTGATATGTGGACTTACTTCACCCAATCACTTGCTGTTTCTCTGCACCATCCTCACAAATCCATTTCAACCGTTGTATCAGGTGCAACTACAGGATCTGATTCTGAAAAAGCTACATAATAAAAGCTAAGCCCATAGTTAAGTATTTGTAGAAGAACCTCATAGCAAAGTCAAGCAGTGTCTTAGAAGATTTTGTGAAAACTGTCTTCTAAAAGTATTGTTCCCAGACAATAAAAAAAAGTGTGATGTGGTATTAATTCCATATAGCATGTTTACATTCATTCTCTGCACATGTTTGTATTTACATTAACAACATTCACATAGTTTGCATCTGATATCTGCTCTGCCTGGAACATGTCTTATAATATTGTGGGGCATAATGGTAAGAAGTTAGTTAAAAGTAAGTCCTCTGGGTGATGGAATATGCTGTTTTGTTTGCATAAAGGTGCACAAATTTGTAGATGATGCCTATAAATGGCAGTTGAAAAAAAAGTGTATTTAGCATTAGTGTGGCACTTCTCCGAGGATATAGTGATTAAAAACAGGGCCCTAGCACCCCAAGCAGGCAAGCTGCATGTTTAAAAAACTCCATCTGTTACCGTTCTTTTTTGTGCATAATTTATTAGGTGAGATTTGCCCTGTCCCCAGTTTGGCATCAGCTAGGGCAGTGTGTTCCTGTGGTGCCCGATGCAGTGGTGCCAACACAGTCACCTGGCCTCAGGGATGCATCTGCTCCAAGTGACTACATACCCTCCATTCTGCCAAGAGCCTCATCAGAGAATACTCTTTTAAATGCTTATTTTTGGGAAAGGCTCTTCGGATTTCAGGATAGTAAACATGTGTGTATATTTGACTGGGGCCAAGGAAAATTTCATTTTCAGTTAATGCACCAGTAAAATATTTATCAGTCATTTCTTAATGTTGAAGGTCATCTCATCTGTCTTTTTTTTTCTTCTTTTTATTCCTTTACTGTTGAATATCGTTCCTTTCCATTCTGCTTTCTCAGTGTAAACCAGTTCTTTTATGCCTTTTCCAAACATTGGGACTAAAAAATTGACTGTTAAAAACAGTTAATGAACTGGTTTTGTATAGTGTAGACAGGTATCTTTAAAAAAGTATTTTTCACAAAAGAGGCTGAGATTTTCTTTCTTTTTCTTCCTCAAACTTGATAATCTGAAGGCCAGCTTTATAGCTGGAGGTTGATGCCCGGCTTTCTAGATCTCCTGGGCAGAAATTAAGGGTGAGTGAGGGAAGAGTAGGTTTAAATCTCCAGCTATGATGCAGTATTTTTAGAATTTCTGAGATCCAGTAGGATCCCTATCACAAAAAAAAACCCACACCCTATTGCCTTTGAGTTCGGGGTCCCCTGTCATGCACTGCAGAGAATTAATTTAATAAGCTAATTTCTGGTAATTGAGTGAATTTCTGCCAATTGGAAAAAAGAAGAGTAATTCCTCTAACAGAGACCACAACTGTTAACTGTAATGTTTGGGTACGCTGTGGCTTAGAGAGAAGTGTATTACTTTGAAAAAGATACTTGTAATAGCTCCATAAATAATCGTTTGTTTTTTTTTTTAATATATGAAATCCTGTTTCAAAGTAGGGGGAAATGGACATTGTTCAAAGAAAGTGGATCTGTATCCCTACACAGTACAATTGCCACAAATTGGAATTAAAATATTGGCAGGCTGCTTATTTCCTGCCACTCATAATTTTTCCCAGATTAGGCTTTGGTTATACATTTCTTTCTCTTGAAAGATGTCTTATTTAACTTTTCCTTTAACAACTGTGTTTAAGTAAACACAGGAACATATGGTACTTTCCTATTTACACTATACAAACCCTTCCTTATACACACTGTCATTTTGCTCTTTTTCACTCTTGGTTGTATACAGCAAGACAGATCCAGCTTCCTTGAGCAAGAACACTTGGTTAAAGACAAATAGGCAGGAAAAAGCAGCCATCATCTATTCCCTGGCATACTCACCAAGAATAAAAGTGGATAGTGTACGGTGAACTTTGCAGCTCTGTCTCACAATAAAAGGTTTTCAAAGGGTAAATCTCAGTGGGGAAAGAACTGCCTTTATGTTACTAGCAAGTAGATGGATTGAAAAATTTAGCAGCAGCCCTGTGTGTAACTCCATGTTATCACTCTGTTTGTATTAAACTTGATCTTGCTCATCTTTCCTGCGTTGTGGGCATTTTCAAGACACACTCAGTGACAGTGTAATGTACTTGTTAATGTGTAGGGGGCTGGTATCATCAGCTAGCAGACCTCGTGAAGACAGTTGGTTAAAATCGCTATTTGTTCGCAAAGTTGATCCAAGGAAAGATGCTCACTCCAACCTTCTAGCCAAAAGGGAGACCAGCAGTCTGTATAAACTACAGAGTGAGTGATCTTTTTATATTTAACATTCTCATTTCTTTATCCTGTTACTGCATTTCTCATCTCATGTTGTTGTTTCAGTTCACAATGTAAAACCAGAATGTCTAGATGCCTACAACAACCTTTGGTAAGTGTGGATGTTACATTTTCACATTTTAGACGTGTTGATTTGATCATAGGCCGTACCAAAAATTGACAGATACCATAGTTGTTAAGAGGGGAAGGGCAAAAATCTGCCTTTACTTATAGGCTACTATAGTAAATAGTGTTGTTGTTTTTGTTTTTTGTTTTGTTTTGAGAAAGATGGCATAGGTGTTTTACTCAGTTTACCCTCTGTCTCCCCTCTTGAAAGTGCCATTTTCTTAGCCTGCCACTTAGGCTGCTTTTGTGGAAGCGCAGGTGGAGTTTGCTGGAACACCTTTCTCCCATCTCCTGGCTGTCTTTCCATTGCTGCTCCATGTGGAGTATCCTAGCATGCCCCCCACCCCCCTCCAAAATGAGATACAGGGATTTGTTCGGGGTAGAAGAGGGATAATCATTGTCTGCATATAGAAAGAAAAGGGATAGTAAGTAAATCATAAGTCAAATCATGTGCCAGTATTAAATAAAAGTAAGATTTGGAAGAAATTTTAGCAGCCCTGGATTTGACTCTTACTCAGCTCTTCCACATATTCTTTCTACCATGTTACTGAGATTTACTCTTAAAGAGATATGCAAACCACTGCATGGGATCTTTGCATTGGGGTAGTGTCCTCTGAAGGGAGTGGTGCTATATGGGGTTTCCAAAAAAGTTTCAGGTTTCAAAAAACACAAATAGTAATATTTTAAATTTACTAATCTGAAGAATAGATTGCTGAAATATTAATTCTGAACTCTCACTACTTTATAGGCAAACAACTGCTACTTTAAAGAACCAAATACTTTGCTTTGGAAATGTAATTAACCTCGTGCTTCTAAACAGCACTGTCTCACTGACAGTGATCGTGTTGTCAATTAAACGTTCTTAGCATAATGATATCCTACTGCAATTGAATTGTGGTGTATTGACTAGAACATCAGCTGGGCTGGAGGGTGGGGAAGAAGTTCACACCTCCAAATTTCTCAACTCTGTTATTGGTTCATTGTACAGCCGTGAGCAGCTTGTCTGATACCTCTATGTCTTAACTTTGAAATGGGAATAGATAACCAAAAACTATGTTCCTTACTGTACAAATTTAGAAAATTTGCTAGAATCATTTCTGGACGCAAGTTATTTTTAATGTTCTTGTTTAAAAATATATATATACACACACAGAAATAACAGTTAGTTTGAAGTTGAATCTCTGTTTAAAGGCTTAGTATGAACATGTCCAGTTACACAAAACAGAGAAGGACTTTTCAGCAGTATCTTGTGAGCTACTGAAATGCTGCGTGAGAGCAGAGGCTTTTATTTTCGAGGAAAAAGACACTAACAGAGAGAGATTCAGATAAAATATGTGGGATTTGATTTATTCTTTCCAAACCAAAGTATTGAGGGAAGGAGAAAACTTAAGAATGGAGTAATAAAAAGATTGAAGAACCTACGAACTTCTCTCATTCTTCCCCCTAAATTAAACATGAGGAAGTAAACTCCTTATTTTACATCAAATCAGAATAAGAATTAGCTGTTTTATAGTAATAAAGAAATAATGTAGTAAAGACTATTGTAAAAATAATTCATGAATTAATGGAGTTAAAGACTCCCTTATGAAGAATTAGGAACCAATGTTTTTTAAAAGGCAAAACAGTTCTGTTCATGTCTGTGAATTATCAGGTATTCTGATTGTTTTAAATATATATGTGTGTGTGTATATATTATTTCAGCAAATTATATTTTAGGATTATTATGGTAATAGTTTTAGTGTTAAGGCTGCTTTTCTAGGATCTCATTATGCTTTGCAAAAATGAACTCATGGTTACTGAAAACATCCTTAGAGAGTCATTCTATCATATTATTTCCATTGTGTAACCAGAAATATTGAGGTACAAATTGGTAATGGGATTTGCTCAAGGTCATCCAGAAAGACAGTGGCAGAACCAAGAGGAAAATTCCTATATTCTGACTCCCAAGCACAAGACCAGCTTACTTCCTACTATTTCATATGAGGCAAAGACACTTTGCCTATGAGCCAAAATGATTAAGAGTAGTAATAATCAAAGGAAAATTATTAAAAGGCAAAGTTCAACCAGAGGAACAGACATACTCACAAAAGTGCAGTGCAGTGAAAACTGTTTTAACCGAGTCAACAATTGATAAACCCTAATTTCTTAATGTAGGTCACCTTTAAAGTTTGAAAAAATAGAAATATTAGAAATAGTTGTACAGAAATTTTGTTTTGGCAGTATTTTTAGGGCAGTTTCACTTTACTGGATGAACTGCTTCAAACTAGCTCTGCCCTCTGAACTGATAAAAGGTAGCAAGGCTGCATACTACAAAGTACAGTCATCATTTGCTCATATTCATATCCATCAAAATACTTGTTTTTATGCATCTGGCACAACAGAATTAATAGCATTGTAACTGGTACAAAAGACTGTCCTACTTGATGTGTTTTGCATCTTGAAAAAGATAAGTTTCCTTTAGCAAGTGTAGGTAGGATGCACTTCCTCTGAGTGAGACATCCCAATACTTATTTTTCTTACGTATCAGATTAGGTGACATCACGTAATTTATTGCATCAAAAGAATTGTGCCATGCTGTGTATTTGTCATACAGTCTAAGAAATGGTCACAAAATAATTTTACGTAGTATTATAGCTGTCTCTTCCCTTGTGTAGCAGATTTGTGTATTTCAGCTTTCTCTTCTGAAAGTAGAACTTGTGAATTTTCGTACCATAATGATGAACCTGTGGTGATTTGTTATACATATCAACTGTAGCCTCCCTGAAGGAAATGCAATATAGTGTCTGTATTCCTTGTTTTCAAGTCAAGAGGTGCTGCCAAAGATTCATGAAGAAAAACACTACCCATGTGCACTGGTGGGGACTTGGAACACGTGGTACGGAGAGCAAGATCAGGCTGGTAGGAGATAGAAGTACAACAGAATTTAAACCATACAAGTGAAACGTGTGCTTGGCAGGTTTCTTCTCTTTAAATCATCTCTGTTGATAGTAAACCTTTAGCAATGTATACAGTGAGGATGTGTGTGCATCAGTTACTGGCAGTCTTTAACATTTACAGCGTTTGCTTTTTGTCTTGTTGAGTTTGACAGCAAAGCATTAATTCCTAAAATTTGTCCTGTTGTTAAAACACTTTTGTGTCTTCCTTGTGATAGATTAACAGCTTTTGAAACCCCTTGTAAAATTCGTTCCTATATTTTGCAAGTGCAGATTGTGTTCCTGAATATTTAGGCCAAAGCCTTACAAAGACAGATTAACTTACATTGGCTAGAATAAAAACTTTGCTCAGACTTTCACGCTGTAATTGCTCACTGATAATGAAATGCAAATCATTCACACCATCTGAAAAAGTGATTGCACTCTGACTTTGAAATAATTAAAACCTTCATTGGTGGAAAGTAAAGCATTTCTGTTCATGTTCATATAAAATACTGCCTAATCACCCAGAATGAAAATACATTGGACTGGAAATTACAGAAAAGCTGCTACAGAAGTAACTACAAAGTGTCTAGTGTCGATAGAAAAAAAAACCCAAGACTATGGGAAATTTGTGGGAAGCCACAAATGTTGAGTGAACTGCTGATATTTGTTCTACAGAAAAAGCTCTCTTGTTAGAGCTTTGCTAATACTAAGGTTGTTGCTTCGCTATTGAAGTGTACACATTAATTTCTACTGCATTCATAGAACGTTGCAATATTGACTCTGAACAAATGTGAGGAAATAGCAGAGAAACAGAACATTGTCTGAGAAACAGTTCTTAAAAATTGAAAGGAAGTTGGGGAATGAAGGTAATTGAAATGAAAATATCTTAGCCAAGCCTTGTTTGTTGTTTTTATAATGTGTTAACACAGACTGTATCTGGAATTGCATCAATAGCCTGCCTTGAAAATGCTATTGCAACTGTTCTAGCAGCCTAATAATGTAGACTAAGGGGTTTGGACTTACACAGTACTTGTGCCCGGGCTGGGTTAATAACTGGTTATATCAAATTTGTCCTGGGGATTAGCAGCAGCAGATACCCTGGATGAATCTGTTCTGATAATGAAGTGTCTTGCATTAGTCTCCAGTTTGCTTTCCTGGTAAAGGCACAAGACAGCGTTAACTTCTTTATATGCGAGGAAATAGATTTTGTGAGTCTTCAAGGAAAGGCTAGAAGGAGAATTGAAGATGAAATATTGTTGCCTTGCTATATTAAATGCTTGTCAATAAATCTTGTTATAGAAAATGCTTTGAAAAGCCTATCAAAAGTAGATATCTATTTTGAAATTATTTAGCAGGGAAAAGACTAGCAAATATAACAATTCTAGCATGCTTAGATATCTTTTGTTTTGCTTTTTAATTTTTTTTTACCTAAAAATAACATTTGCATCATATTTCATGCCTCTCAAATTATGTTATGCTCTTTTTGTTGAATAATTTATTAAACTAAACATTCTGTTGATCTGTTCCTCTCACATGAAATTGGTATAAAGCAGATCTTTGGTATTAAGTCAGTCTCTTAAGTTGAATCTCAATTTCAAGTACAGTTACCTAAATTCATCACATCTTATTAGCATGGCAACAAAAGTTCCTTTCAGAACTATTCCTTTTAGAGTACATTGCAAAATTCTCTAAGAAAACCTCTTCAAAAATCAAATGATTCCATTATTCTTAAAATGTAAAGTGCTTTCTTTAATGAAAATTCATGTTTGAACCTGTTACCAGGCTTCTATTTTTGTATGATTCTGTAATATGAAGAGCTTTTTATACTGTGATATTCCATAGTTTTAGCACTATTATGCAACGTTTCTGAAGAAGCTTCTTTTTTACGTTTTAGTTCATCTCTGGAGGTATGAGGGAGGCTATCCAGCTCTCAATGAGGTCATGAGTAAACTCCGGCAAAATAAGGTAAAATGCAGAATTTCTTTTTTGATGCTTTTCTTAGAAATAGCTAATTTACTTAGAAGAGAACATAGAATAATCAGAGCAAAAAAATTGAGATTTGGTTACCTGTGTACTTGTGTATCTCATCATTTGCTGTACAACCTTAGTCTGCCTCTTTGGGAAAGGGATTATTCTCAAATTCAGAAAGATTGAGGATTGATATATGAATATTTTATGAAGTACTTGGAGATTGTTGGGTGTTGTGTAAGCAACGTCAGCAGAAAATTTCAAAGATGCTAGGGGAATCTAGATTTCTGTAAAATTAGAAGTATTTGGAAATCCAAATCCCCAAGATAGCATTGAAAACTCTCAACTGCTGTATGTTGTGGATACATAATATAAAGTTTGATAATGATCACCTTGTTTTAAGGAATTCACGGAATTTCGCAAAGAAAGAGGTAACATGCTTCTCTCTCGGAAGAATCAGCTATTGTTGGAGTTTAGTTTCTGGAATGAACCTGTTCCCAGGGAGGGGCCCAACATTTATGAACTAAGATCCTATCAACTTCGAGTAAGTTTCAATTTTTAATTTTTATTTTGTAGGCAAAATATAGTTTTAAAATATTCAAAACGTGTTTATACAACGTAGATGGAAAACAAGCCTCATCTTAAAAATCTGGTTCTTATCAAAGTTCATGGCAGAGTTGTTGATGTGTGGGATTGAAATATGAAGACAAGCTCTAACAGGATATCAAATATCTCCTACGAAGGACTGAATACTTTGTGTTTTGATATGAGATAACTTCAGGCAAATGACTTAAGAAGTACTACAGTGAATAAACATAGTAATTATACATTATTATAATATACTTATCTTTTGCAGGAAGCAATTTTGTTAATAAATAGTGTTTTCCATATGTAAGTGTGAAAACTGTTGAAATATTTTAACTTTATTCCAACTGCAGTTTTAAGCATTCTTTTGCTTTTCCAGCCTGGAACAATGATTGAGTGGGGAAATTACTGGTAAGTTTTGCTTTACCACATGTGTTCTCTTATTTGAGAGATGTATGTTTGAAGATCTATAAAGTGGAAGTGACAGAAAGGTACCAAAGGATTTCAGTCCCCCAGTTAATGGCCTTCTGCTGTTCTTATGTAACTTGAAAATAATTGGGAAGAGGAAATTGGAAAGAGGAATTCTGTGTGCAAATAATACTGTGTGCTCTGGCTTGGCTTCCCTTTACATAACCCTTTTAAGTTTGATGTCATGTAGCAGAGACCTTGGTAATCTTTGTTTTCAGGAGACAGCAGTGCTCACAAAAGTGAGAAGGTTAATTTCTTAAGACTATATTGATCTTTCATCACTCCCATGCTGCTAAAAGCTGACCAACTTGGTTTAAATGGCCTAAATCTTAGCTCTGTTAATCTTAAAAAGTCAAACTTTTTCTTGGAAACTGTTGAGCATCATATTTGTATTTTAATATATAGGTTAAAAGCATTTAAGATGGTCTTCTCTTCAGTATATGCCTCTGATTTTGTCTTGTTTGTAAGTTTCTTTCAGTTTATATTCTGTAAATCCATGCAGTCCTAATAATTGATACTTAAATCATTTGGAATTTTTTAGATATGTAATTGTCACCAATATAATTTATTTCATTACTGTAATGTTCCAATAAATTAGATCTTCAATTTTTATAATACAGACATATCTGCAGTGATAGCAGTTCTGTTTTAGAAGATGCAACTAATTTATAGTTGAGAGATATTTAACACAGCAAATCATGTTGCATAGTACAGCTGCGAAACAAAAATGCATGTGAATAAAAACATTGCATTCACTGCCATGAAATCTGTGGTGAGTGAATGCTGCTAAGGGTGATATGATATATGATGGAAACTCAAGGATTTAGTTTTGGAAGAACCTGCTGTAAAAACATTCTGCCACTTTATACTGTTAACAGCAATTTTCATTATACTGACTCTAGTGTGAAGAAACAAATACTAACATACACTCTAATGAAGCAGTAGGCCTCACCTCCAATTAACACATTCTAACAAGATATAGATTTTTAATTGCTAAGTGCAACAACATGCAACAAATCAATGTGTTGTGGGTTTTTTAACATTTTTAGTTGCTGAAAAGTACTGCCAGTGCTGTTTAAACTCCACTTTCTCATGAATCATTATCTATTTCCTTCCCAGAAATCTTCTGTTTTTAAGTGTTGCTGTGATCTTTTGTAGGGCTCGGGCAATTCGTTTTCGTCAGGACGGTAATGAAGCAGTTGGAGGATTCTTCTCACAGATTGGACAGCTCTATATGGTTCATCACCTTTGGGGTAAATTTGTTTGCATTCCCTGCTTTTTTTCTCATTGAGTCAGCCTCTAATAGACTGCTGGCTTTGCGTGGGACACAAGATTCTTACAAAAGGAAAAAAAATATGTCTTAAGTGTCTTTTGACATCAACACTGTTGACTTTCCTTATTTTTATGTAGGCAACTTATTTGCCAAATGGAAGCAAGGAAAAATGAACATTTCTTGTCTTACATTGTTTCCATCAATACTTTCTCACAGTCCTTTCTTATTAGACACTACTCCTTGTTTGCCCTCAATAACATAAGCATAACAAATTATGTCCTGCCATCTCATTTTTTTCTGGCCAGATTCTTGCTGAAGGCAACTTCTTACAGTTGAGTTTCTAGCATCACACATACCACAGTTACAAGAGGAGAGTCAAGTATTTACTGACATTAGTACCTTATGCTGTTTTGGTTTTCTTTTCACATTTGGCTCCGCCAACATGTAGCTGGTTTCCACACATTAGGAGCTTGTTGTCCAATACTTACTTAGGGGAAAAAAGTATTCTTATCTCCAGAATTCAGAATATTAGCTTTCAGCACTGAGAATCTCATGTCCCCTGTATGGAACTATACTCTGTGGCAATATCTGTCTTGCCTGATTCTAATGCTCCAGGTTTAGGCTTCCTCGTGCTGCTATCTGTATTCATTGCTATCTTTAAAAACATGTAATCATCAGGAGGTGCATTAATTTATTGGTGGTATTAATTTATTGGTTTTGCAGAAATACTCATGGTCAGAGGTGGATGCTTCGCAGAGCACTGTTTGATGTCCCTTTGTCCCCCACAGCCTAAAATGCTCCAAGCATGCAATACTTAAATAGTGCAGCATCTGCAAAGTCTGTTTTTCTCTCTTTCCCAGCTCCTTCCATTTGTGTTGCTTTTGAAGCTTTTGCTTTTTATGGAGAAGAACTTCAGACTCTTCTTCCTTCCCAATTTTTGGTGTTTCCCAGTTACATATTACAGTGCTTTTAAGGAGACTATTCATGTGTAGAAGGAAAAAGAGTTACCAACTTTGCCTTGTCATTTTCTCTCTCTAGCTTACAAAGATCTTCAAAGCAGAGAAGACATAAGGAATGCTGCATGGCATAAACCTGGCTGGGATGAACTAGTCTATTACACAGGTAACAGATTAACTTAATTAGAATGGTGGAGACAGACCCTTGTGTGTGTCATTGCTTTTGTTCCTCAGTGCATGGCACACAATGCTAAAAAGTTTCAAATAGGGTGT